ACGCTTACCCGGATGGGAAAGTCCCAGACCGGAGAGACATGACTGAAAAGGCCCACCCCGTCTGGCGGCTTCGTCACCAGACACGTCACCCCAGAGACGGTCCCAGCCGTGGGAGGGGCGGCGCATGACCTATTGCTGCCCGCAAGCCGCTTATGGTTAACATCCAGTAATGTAGCCCTGCAATGGAATGCAACTTTTTCATCGTTTTCAGAATAAGATTTGCATTTTATTTGAATATACCTAAGGACAAACGTTGATTCTCTCTCCTGTTCATCCCGGTTTGCGTGCATTTTAGATCTGGTACCAAATTGGACCCCTGTCTAATGATGGCAGCGTGAAATGGATTCATATTTTCCTGTCATGTCAACTATGCCAGTTTACAACTGCTGGGAGGCCCTTCAAAGCATAACACTTTGATCGGGACACTAAATCGGCTGCAACATTCCGCAGCTCTTTAAGGTTGCGGACAAAACTGTTGGGCTCAATCATGCTTCCATTCCCCAGCAGAGTGCGAGTCCATGGTTCGGAGCCTGACTGGACCGACGTCGCCAGTGCTACCTCTCAAGGATCGGTGCTGGGACCAATGCTGCTCGTTATTTTCGTCAACGATTTACCAGAATTGAGAAGCGCGATCAAGATGTTCACGGATGATACTAAGGTGAACTGTCGTGTTCCGAGACCACTGGCCGCTCTTCCTCTCCATGTTGACTTCGATGGCCTCGTCAGGGTACGATTGCCCTCATTCAACGCATGCATGTCACATGTCACAAGTAATGCACACCAGTGCTTGCCTTCCTGAACGGGGCCGGAATAGCCATCGGGCCCACTGAAAAGCATCCTGGAATTTTCGTGGAGGCTCATGTCGGCTCATGTCCACGTGCGGATGGCGGAGGTAAATTCTAAGGCCAACCAGATGCTGACACAAGCCCCCGCATTACTGCATGCTGGGTAGCGATGCTGTGACGTCTCATCATGGGGCTAAGTCATATGGCACCAACGCTATGGCGGCGTGAAAATGCTGTGCTTTGCGGGCTAGTTTAAACAAAAGTATGTCCAAAAACCTCATTTGCTTTGACCTACCACATTCAGTGAAACATTTTCAGCTGGGAGATGGCGTTGGCTTGCAACAAAGCCACAACATTATTGCTAAAATGCGCTTCAAGCCAGACCCCAAGAGACGGATGGTGGCACCCATTCACCAGTAATTTATCCCGGGGAGCTCTAGCCGGTGTGCTTAGAAACAGTCTGTGAAACCTAACCTAACCTGACCTAACCTCCCCACCATATCCCCTTCAACCCAGTGTCCCATTGGCATCCATGTTCCATGCCATATATATGTACCGTATTAGGAAGGTTTGTTTAGCCGCCATATTCTCATTTTGCCTTTCATTCTCACTCGAAAACGTCATATTTGCCCACCATGTCTACCAATATACAAACAATAGGGAAGACTGCCTGGATACGCAAGAAACATATTTCATTTGATTCTTGTTACCTTGGCCCCGTACATTTTGATGGCTCTTGATGCGCAGTAATGTTGCGATCACGCGTAGCAATGGCGCCGGGGTCGCGGTTGCTGCGTGTTTGCGGCGCTCGGATGTTCGCTATCGTAGTTATTTAAGTTCCAAGGTAAGAGTTTAGATGACCTCTTTTACGATTAATTACGATATGTTCTGCCTTAGCAACGACGATTGATGTACACTACTCTTAACATGAGGCAGCAATGTATCCCTGGCCGGCAAACTGGATCAGGAGCAGCTGGAACAGGTTCGACGGCGAGCTGCGCGTCTTGTCCGAGAGGTGAGGCACGGGCCATATCCTGAGGGGCTACACCTGCTGCCTTCGCTGAACTGCCGACGTCACATGGAGACACGGTTGTGGTGTTCTAGATGTTTCACGGGGGCGCGCCTTCCCCGGAGAGCGAGTTCCTCACGAGACAGGACTCGGAAGTGACAAGACAATAGCGGTGTCAGCTGACGGCCCTCGAGCCAGGACATTCGTCGGGACTCATTCAGCTCCTGGGTCTTAAATTATTGGGGCAGTCTTCCACCGACAACGCTTTTGTCATCCGCGGTTGACTAGTTTAAAACTAGGCACGGTGCACGCTGGAACGATACCATGCACGGCAGCCCACACTGACCACATCGTTGAAACGAGGTCGTTCAGTTAACTGAGCGGGACCTCGAAGAGACTGGGATCCATAGGCCAAGTGACCTTTTAATTTCTGATCACAATTGGGTAGTATAGGTTATTTGATAAGTTATAGTTTAAAACTTGCTGGGGGATTTGATAACGTAAACCAAATGTTTTTGGACCAGTGGTTCAAATATTATTTCTGAACACGCGTGATCTTGCCGCACGTCGCCAGCGACTGTCCTAACAGGCATGCAGCTAGCCTGCCTGGATGTTTAATACGGCTCAACACACTTTTATTTGGTTTCCCAGCTCACACGACAGAGAACAGAAAAGCCGCGCCGATGACACCCATAATACTCGTAACACCGCGCGTGCGAATGCAGCAGAAGCGCTGCCACAGGCAAATCCTGCGCCATAATTTGACCATGACTAGACAAACGGCCTAGATCCAGATCCCATACATGTTCTGTAACGGCACTCCCGAGAAAAACGCGCTACATTCCCAGCTGGGCTCAAGCTTGGCTCCCCTGGGCAGTACGGCAGCCAAACCCATTTCATACAATGGCCTGGGTCCTGACACGGCTCAGGCCGAGCTGCGCTGTTATATCCGCCTAGCTCCGATAAATTGCTGGCTGGGGAGGGGGGGGGGGGTGGCCAGATTTTGGTGAGGTGGGGGAGAGACACAGCATTGACAAAGGGCCCCTCATTGTGAGAGCCCTCTCCCCCAAAAGCACCGGATGTGGTTCACCTGGTTTTGAGGGGCAAGATTTTCTTCGTTTTATATTCATATGTCCATTTTTTATTGAAACAAAAGCCAGAAGGCACCGAAGGATGCAGTTCCGTTAGCATTTTGAGGCCAATAAACTGAAGAAATCAAGCGTTAAGGTGTGCAAATAGTAAACCGTTGGCATGTTATTTTGGGACGGTTCCGTAGACTGTTTAAGCCGATAGCACTAAGGGGTTGCGCCGGATTGTAAATCGGAATTGGGCCATAGAATTACATTGAGATGGTCGACCATGTTCGTCTGGGGATGTTCAACCTTTGTTCAGAATCGAGAAGTGGAAAAATTACGTAACAGTTTTGACCACGTGCGCTCGCAAGCCTTCAAACAAAACCCCAAAGCGCGACGTTGCAGTCTCCGTTGGCCGCGCGGCGTCGGTCCATGGCTGACACCGGACGGCGCTAACGCGTGGGCGGCACCCATAACGTTTTAGGATGCCAGTTGGTACGTTTAGGAGGAAGTCTGGGGTATGCCTCACCAGCGCAATTTTTAAACATTCATAAAGGGAACGGTTGCATTCAGAGCATCCCAAACCGGAACTGGTCTTTGGTGGCGAAACCAGACGAGTGCCTACAAAAAAGGTATTTATATTCGTGCTGCCGTCACTGTTTATTCGTTCAGAGGACAGTATCAAACTTGGGACAGTATCAAAGTTGGATGAAGGTCGGCAAAGGCTTCTTCCCAGCGTATACGGGTAATTACTTGGTGACGGTTTGGGAGGCTAGTATTCTGCCGATTTGTTTTTTCCGATAAGACGTCGTGGCATGATAATGCGACTTGCTTCAGTCTATAGGAAATGAAACATCGCTGAACAATGTCGAAAAATTCTGGTCTAATTTGTTGCTATTGTCTAAGTACAAGCCGTGACCAAATTATGAGCCGTCTGCGCTGGAAAGAAGCCTTTGCCGACCTTCGTCTGCATACTATTGATGGTGTTCTTTGAACAGGCTATCAGATAAACATAAATATGAAGAGTCAACAAGGCAGACCAAACGTGCCATTAAAAATATGCAGCATGTAGGGAAAACTAACAATACTCAAGTAAACGGAGTACGAACGTGGAGCGTCAAAAGCGTGATTAGCCCAGTCAAGAGGTCAGGCCCAGCCTGGAGGTCACAAGATCTCCAGTAACCCCTTCGGACCTAAAGGGGGAACGCGCGTCCCATTGCTTCCTCTTTGCTTGTGTCCCTGGTAGCAACTATCATAAACCGGAGAAAAAGCGAACATATATCGAGTGAATGTTTACATTACGAGACAGCGGACCGGCATATTAGGTATTGCTTAGAGTGATTGCAAGTACAGCGGGATACTTTCAACATGAGAAACCACAGAAGAAATGGAAACCTACGGGCATACCAGTGACACCGAAGACGTCATGTGGAACGTTGAAGAACTGAAGTCGAAAGTGTTTCTGCAAAGGCCGCCTGGGGAAGGGTGCCCTTTTCGCAGGCACCCAACGAAACCACAGTGGCAGGTGTATGGGGCGCGGAGGTGCAGTGCCAACCACGCGCGATCGGCGCAAGGTGCCAGACGTTGGTGCGTGGCAAGGGTTTCAAGTGATCGACTGGTGCCTGCCCGCCAAGCACGCCGACTCACCAGCTAACATGGGAATCAAATATGTAACGTTGTGAGCCTGGAATAACACGCGACAGTAATGTGTTTAGGCCAGTAGCGGGTGACGCTCTGTACCCCGCTTCTCCGAGGGCTGGGGAGCGGTCCGCATCCGCCCAGCACTGAAGCCAGCTAGTATACCTACACCATACTACACACGGGCATAGTATGGAGATGTCGACACAGGTTCTGATCTGGGAAGTGTCTCAAGCGATCAGTATTGAAAACGCCACAATGCATCGCGAAGTAAAGGCGCATAATTGAATGATACCGTTAAGCATTCGGGAACATCTTTGTGGCCTAGACCTCAGGCCGTCTGGTCTTCTGGAAACCACGGTAGCGCCGGTCTCCCAGCCTCTTTATAGAACAATATCCCGACCTACTTGGCAGAACAGCACCCCGACCTCGAATATGGTTTGGAACTGGGGTTATCAACCGGTGGGACTGGCCAGCAGTGTTCCGCGTACGTACCTCGACTGACATCACCGGCTGCGTAGGGCCTCATGCCACATCGCGAGGTCTTCCGGCGCTGGCCGTCCGACCACGGCAGACGCAGGCGCCCCATCCCGCGGCGGACACCGACTGGGCCGCTCCGACCGCCGCACGCCCCGGCCCGTGCGCTTGCAGGCGTCCGGCCACACGGCGACCGGTCAGTCGAGCCGGGACTCCCTGCGCGGGGACCCTGCCCAGCGGCGGGTGGCTTCTGCACGCCTTGCTGACTTCCGGCGGCCCGTCAGTCGAGCCGGGACTCCCGGCGCCGGACCCTGCCCAGCGGCGGGTGGCTTCTGCACGCCCTGCTGACTTCCGGCGGCCCGTCAGCCACCGTCCGCGCCGCCTCAGGAGCCCGACTGGCGGCCTCTCTGCCGACCCCAGTCACGCGCCGACCGCCAGCACCACCCGGTCGCAGCGCACGCCGCGCGCCGCAGCGCCGGTCACGCTGCCGCGCCGAGTTGCCACGTCCGGTTACGGTGCCTTCCGCCGCCAAAAAGCGGCTGCACGGTGCCGGGACCGGTTGGCGACGGCGCTGGCCCGACCGGCGGGTGGACCGTTATTCGCGATGACTGGAAACCGCGAGTCACGGCCGCGCGAGAAACTTATCTCCCGGCGTCACACCGCGCTTTGTATGTGTGCGAGGAAGCGAGGCGGCGCAAATAATCAGACCGTTAGTCGCAACAAAAACGTGCTCTGGGTGGTAGAAGTAGCCGTTCATTACCCGCACGCGATGGACTAAAACTGGTGAGGGCCCGACACACTTTTGAGCCGACACCCGGCAGGGCGGGTAGGCACGTCATCGGGAAGGAAGTGATCCGCATCTGTCCGACAAAATCCCAGCCGACAATATGCATGTCCGTCCCGGCTTACGCTTGTGACCTGCGCTCCGGAAATCCATCGTGATTCGACTCTCGAGCACCTGGTCTCGGCAGGCTTTCATGGTCCTCCCGAAGACGAATTCCTCTGAATGGATATGCAATGGTGATTGTATGAAGTTTGAGCTTTCGTGCACGCGTATACCACGCCATGTCACACGCGAGCTACCAACCAGTCGCAAAAAGTCCCCTTGGTCCCGCGTCGTGCGCAGGCCCGGCGCGGGTAGTCTATGGCGCGGGGGACATCTGATGCTGGAGCCATGAAACCGGGCGGAAGCACGTCTATGCAAGCGACGCCCAGCAGCGACGAACGAGCTCCCCGTCTAGAATTGCACGGTCCTGGATGCTCGGCACAACAGGCCTCTTCCGGCCGGCGCCATACGAGTGACTCTGGTATACGACGTTAGAAAATCAACCGACATTACGTTAAGGTCGGACCGGTATGTGTGAAATGAGTCATGTGGTTGGAAACTAGGTGCAAAGCCGTAGGGACCATCTGAGGGTCATCCCGAAGGCTCAGAAAATTTTACAGCTGAGGCTTAGCTCTATCATTTAAGTCTTCGAAAAACTACGTTGTGTTAAACGGGGCTAAAATCCCCTCCCTCTCTCTCTATACATCAGGAGCTACTCGGCTGGTCATCGAAAGTGAAACGAAGCTTTTGTTCACTCAAGAACCGCATTCCAAAAAAATAAAGGCCCAATTATTTTTGATAGGGGCAGCTAGATAGCCAACCAAGCCAGGGCAGCAGATGACCAACAAGTTGGAATCTTTAGGATATTTTTATCCGATACGGTTGAAATATTTATCAGGCGATTGCCACACAACTAACACAGGTCGACAGCTAAAAATTAGAATATTAGTATGTCGGGCGACATTTGAAAACAAGAAAATCATGGACGTATCCAGGAAATAAAAAATATGAAAGAAACACCGACTCCTCAAAACGAGTTGTTTTCAGTTCATGCGGATGGTGCGTTACTATTGCACCCGAAAAGAATGCTTAAGCCCAAGACCCTGCCCCGAGAATGCCTTGAGAAGTGAGATGAGAGGCTTCAGTTAGCACATATTGGGTCGTCCATAAATTACGTTATGCGTGGAAGAGTGGGGGGATCGAGCGAAACGGAGCGAAATGAGGGAGGGACGGAGAGAGGTGCAGTTTCAGGTCGTCCTAAAATGTTTAAAGTATAAATTTAAAATGGCTTGGATTGTTAAGTGCATTTGCGAGGAGCATTATGCATATAGATAAAACAGTATTTTAAGCCTTATTCTTCGTTCAATGACCAGAAGGGAAATATAGATGTAATGGTGTATTGGCAGCATGCCTTTATTGGAGAGGATATGAAAAGTAAATCGTACTGAATAATTTTATTAGCCATTCATATCCGCTTCCATAGCGACATGTAGCCGAAATATCGTTACATCTATCTCTCCTTTCCGCTGGCTATCCTACGAGGAAACAGGTTAACACCACTGTCTTATACACAAATTTTAACGTTAAAGCCGCGTTGGCTCGCTCCCAAGGCCAGGGTCACGCCTGCAATTTGTTTAACGTCTTTATTTCAGATATGGGGTCAAGCGGACGCTACGGACGAACAGTCAGTCGATATGGGTCAGCTGGTGTCTGGGCGGGTGGATGGTCCGGTGGTTCCGTGGCCCGGCCGGCCCGCTGAGCCGGGCCGCAGGGGAGGAATTGCCGTGGTGCATCGGCCGGGCTTCCAGCTGTTATTTGCCACGCCGCCAAGCAGGTATGTTTGAGGAGATGTTTGTTGCACGTAAGTAAGGCATGGCATGTGACAAGTTTTAGCGTTTTACGGTCAACGATGTGCCCCATTCCTCTCATCCCCGAACGCATTTCTGTGCAATTTGTTTTCCTCCTACAGGTTCACACATGCATGCAATTTCTTCCATCGTCCATTTAAAGCATCGTAAAGCTGTTTTAGTTGGACGCTACGCCCCTCTACTCTCTATTTTGCTCGCTGCATTTTAGCACGCCTTTCCCGTTGTACATATCAATTGACTGTGAAAATTTTGGTTGGAAATGCAAGGCTTTGCATCTAGACGCGGACAAGTATCCTTTACACGCAAAGATTCAAGACTCGCAACATTCTTCAGACTGTTTTCATTTTTCATTCGACACCAGTTTTCAACATTCTCAGACTCTTCAGACCTGTTTCGAGCACTTTCGAGCCATCGTGCCATCTGCTATGCTGCCTTTGGTAAACGGCTGTCACGACACTCACGAGCAACTTTTTCATTCAACAGCCGTGACTCCTGCAAAAACAGGGCAACGCGCATGTGTAGGTGACTACAGCATCTCGAAAAGCATCCGCTCAGGATTTCAAAAACGTCACATAGTCTTGTCCTTGCAGAGACAGTTTCATCGAGCGCATGGTGGTCATCTCCGCCTCAAATCTGTGAACTTGCGATTTATTCGGCGATTCATTCAGCGACGAGTTACGATTTCTCTCCAAATGGATCTCTATGTCGATTATGGCACGAAAACAAAAAAAGACTTTTGCAATATCATGTGATCTTCGAGGTTAAGAGCTGACTCCAAGAACGGGGAACACGTTATCACCCAATGATCATCGGTCAATTTGAAAACCGTAACATCAAAATATTTAGCGCCAGAAATAGCGTCAGTCAAAAATTCCTGACCTCTCAAGGTCATCCTTCAAGGTCAAACGCGGGCTCAAAGGACGGGGAGCTTCATATTACCCAGAAGTTACCGGCCGATTTTAAACTTCCAAACATTAAAATATTCGCTACAGAAGGAACTGGCGTCCGTACAAAGTCGTCACGTGGCAAGGTCAGCCTTCTAGGTCAAACGTTGGCTCCAAGGACGGGCCACTCAATATCACACAAAAATTCCGGCCCATTTAAAAACCGCAAACATTAAGACGTTCCCAAACGCACGGGCTAGCGTACCCCAAAATGCCCTGACATTTCAAGGTGACCCCTTAAGATCACACGCGGACGATTTAAAGCTTCCAAATATCAGAATATTCAACACAGAAAAAACTAGATTCTGTTAAAAAGTTCTGACCTCTCAAGGCCACCTTCCAAGGTCAAACGCGAGCTTAAAAGGAAACTAGTTTGACGGACGCTAGCTCTTTCTGTGGTGTAGATTCTGATGTTGACAAGCTTAAAATCGGCCGGTAATTTTTGGGTCATATGAACATCCCCGCCCTTTTAGCCCGCGCTTGACCCTGTACGGAAACCTTGGGAATTCAGGACTTTTTGACAGACGCTAGATCTTTCTGTGTGGAATATTCTGGCATTTGCAACTTGAAATCAGTCAAAACATTTTGGGTGATATTGGGTTCCCCGTCGTTCGAGCCTGCGCTAGACCTTGAAAGATGAACTTGAGATATCGGGACGTTTTGACGGACGTCGGTCTTTTTGAGGTGAATATTCTGATATTTGCAAGTTTAAAATCGGCCGGTAATTTTTTGGTAATACTAAGGTCTTCGCCCTTTGAGCTCGCGTTTGACCTTGAAGAATGACTGAGAAGTCAGGACGTTTTTACGGACGCTAGCTCTTGATTTTAGAAACATTTTGATGTTTTCAAATTTAAGATCGGCCGTTAATTTTGGGGGGACATTGAGTTCCCGTCCTTTGAGCCCACGTTTTACTTGGAAGGATGACCCTGAGAGATCAGAACTTTTTGACGGACGCTAGTTCTTTCTGTGGCGAATACTCTGACAATTGAAAGTTTAAAATTGACCAGCAATGTTTGGGTGACATGGAGTTTCCCGTCCTTTGAGTCCGCGTTTGACATTCAAGGGTGACCTTGAGAGGTCGACTTTTTGATGGACGCTGGCTCTTGCGCCCGTGAATATTTTGATGCTCACAGCTTATAAATCGGCTGGTAATTTTTTAGTAATATCAAGTCCCGCTCCCTGGACCAAGATTTTGACCTCGGAGGTCACATGATATTGCAAAATAAAGGTTATTTTTGATGTCCTCGTGCCATAATTGTCCTTGGGATCTTTTCCCAGAGGAATCGAAACTCGTCGCTGAATAAATCGCTGAGCAAATTGCTAACTTCACGGACATCCTCAACTTTACAATAACGGGATCCCATGGCCGGTGCGAGTCGCTAACGCAACAGTAGATGTCGCCGGTGGCGAGGCCAGGTGGCGCGTCTGCTGCCCGGTACCGCTACTGCCGGGCCTTCCGTCA